AAAATGTGGATGGGGGAACACAGTTAAATTTCAGGGAATAATAGAATTCCCAGGGAGAATTCTTAAAAAGGAGGGAGAAAGAGCAGAAGTATTTAAGCAATGATGATTCTGCAACTTCGCTTCCAGACGTGCTGCACCATGGGGTGCTGTGCCAGCTAACAGAACTTTCTGATGCAGCAATGTGCTGCTCCAGCCACAGCACTGCTGGATGCTCAGCCTCGGCAGCCCACTCACAAGGGCTTTGCTGGTATATTCGGGAAAAGAGGAGATGCATAAAGTTTCATTCTCTCTTTTTTTTTTTTTTTTTTTCCTTAGAGGTTGTTAATAAGCTGCATTTAGACATTTTTAAAGCAGAAAAAGGGTTGCCTTACATCCCAGAACATCCTCTGTGTAGCCAGCACAGAAAACTGCTGACTTATCATCCAAAAACAGGTCAAACAAAAACACAGCACTTCAAACACACCTCCTGACAGAGGGGCTGTGAGACTGAGTGTTTCATTATCCGCTCCTGCCTCACATTTCTCTTGGCTCTGAGTCAGAACCACCGACTCAGCTTGTAGCCCCTGGCATTTAAATAGCCACGAATTGACCTTTCCACTCCACATCAGGGCTCCAAAATCCTGCTTGGGTGCTGCAATGCTGCTCAGCCCACACTGCCCAGAATCAGTCCCCATCCCTACCATCCACATCCGCCAGACCTGGCCGTGCCCTTCCCAATGTTTCCTCCCTATGCCGGGCCAGGCAGGGGTCAGGACATGGGAAATCCTGCTGCCTCCTGCCAGCTGGCCTTGCCGACACTGGGTGACACATCCTGGGTGGGAGCCAAGGCCCCGCCACAGCCCTGTGACACTTCTTGCTGACCTCCTCCTGGGACAAGCGGATGCTTGGACCAAGTTGTGCACGCCATGCATTACACAGCCCAGGTTACCTCTGGGGCCACCACTGCACCTCTGCTCTCACCAGCCACCTTACAAAGTAAATGTAGCAACATTCTGAGTTGCAGTGGCTACTACTAGTAATACTGAATGATCAAACAGAGCTGAAAAGAACAGGCAAGAGGCTGGGGCAGGCAATGGCAGACGCAGGTGAGGTTGTATGCAAGAAGAAATGCCCAAAGGGTGCTCTCTTGCCCAGACCCAGTGACATTCCCAAGAGGACTTCAGTTCACAGCCAACACCAAAACTTCCACAGCTGCTCCCTGCCCACCCCAGGCCCCTTTAACAGCAGAAGGCACATCAAGCTGCACTGGGGCTGAGTGACCTCCTGCTGACCACCCATTCCCAGAAGCTGAAGGGCCAGAGCCACCGTCACCCCAAGCCCACCTCCCTCCTGTGCCCTGGGATGGATGGAAAAGCCATTTGTCATCCCTGAGCTGTTCCCCCGCCTGTGCAGCTGACCGCTGCCAGCACTGCAGACTCCCAACCTGCTTAAGGAGAAACCGGACCAAAACAAGCAGTGCGGAGGCAGAGGGAAAGGAGCCAGCCCTTTATTTTTTTAAGGGATATTGAAGACTGGAGTAGTGAGCCAGCAGAGTGAAAAACAGTCATGTGGGGACTGTGAAAATAGGAGCTGAAGAGAGGGAGATGGGAAAAGTCTAATAAAAAGAGTTACAGTATATAAAATACACAGGCGCCCACCTCCGCCAGGAAGGCTGTGGGAGGGGGTCTTGGTGGTAATCTTTGGCTGTTTGAGACTGTCCAGGCAGACAAGGTCTGTACTGCAACTGGGTCTGGATCAGACCAGTAAGGATCAGTGTTTCACTCTGTCAAACTCAAACACAACGCTTTTCCCTTACAGCATTTCATTAGGGAGGTCACAAGAGGCTTCTCCAAAATTCAGGTAGCTGTCCCGAGCTCTCAGCCATGCCCATACCCCATGTGGAAAAGAAACATTTCCCTCACATAAACAAAAGCTACAAGGGAAGGCTCTATCCAAGAAATCAGACCTATGCCCCATCAAAATCCCACAAGTATTGCCCTGTGCTGAGATCCCCACCTACATGTCACCTTGCTGCCAGGCAAAATCTGGAGCTAGTGAGCAATTCAGTACAGTTATTGCTGCCATTCAGGCTTCAGAGCCTTTTCCTAACCTGCATGAAGCTTCCCAAAGTGGTGGAGAATCCCACTGTGACCTCTGAACTTGAAAAGCACAATGCCACAGAGCAACATCTCACTCACAGGTAGTAACGCCCAGTCCCAGCCCAAGTGATCTGAAGTACCAGCTTCCCAGCTGAAGGAAACATATAGTTCCTTATCGTTTGCTATAAATACAGCTGTACTGTTTTCCTGACCATGTTATTCTTACAGTCCTTATCGTGTGCACTCAGATAGCCACGGCACAGTCACACACTTCACAGCCTTTTTGCTCCCCTGTTCCCAGCTTTCCCAAACCATTTACATTCTCAGACTCTCAAGTCCTGAAGCCCTCCTATGGCAACTGGTGACCCTGCCCAGGACCTCCACATCCGTACTGAACAGCTCAGCAGATGAACTTATCTTCCTTTTCCCCTTCTTTGCCACACAGAGACCTTACTCAGAATTAGGGATGTACTGAAATGTCACTTCTGATAAACATTTATTCTTGGTGAGGAACATGATGTGTGCTTGTTTATAGGTGGTGGAGTAGGCCGGTGAGAAGCAATGCGCATGTGCCAAGTCTTGCAACATCTTAAACGCTTCCGAATGTCTCAGAAGGATCACACTGTCTGGTCCTCAGGGCATCTGGACACACACACACAAAAAAAAAAAACGCAGTGGGGAAGAAAATTCCCAAGGTCTTGGCCCAGAGACTGAAGGGAAACATCCCACTGTAAAATATCTGAGATGAGACAATGGCTGGCCAAAGGTACCTTCATTTCTGCACTGCTCACAGCCAACCAAGACTTCACCTGCCACAACTTCACATTTGGACCAAGGGAAAATTTGGTGTAGGATATGGACTCTTAGAAATAGAATCTGTGGCCACAGACTATTTGATGAAGACAGGCAAGTTTCACAGGTAGCCAGGAAGCCTGACTTTTTGAGACATTCATTGCCCTTCCAAATCATAGCTGTCTTTCAGAAATACAGTGAGCTCTGTGAAATGAGCAGGTACCTAAGTGCTACAAGAAATTCAGCATCAACAGCTTCCAGGGTTTCACAAAAGGAATGTGAGTATCTGTAACCAGCTATTATGACCTTGATGCTGAAAATGCCCAGGTTGTAAATCTTATCACACACGCATATTGCTGGACAGTCACACTCAGATGGCCTCAAAGATCAGGGAATCTCTGTTTCATCCTATTTTGCATTTAAGTCTTACAGCTCCTTCTCCAAGCTGGCTCAGAAACACCAGGAGAATATTCATTCCTGTGGTTTCATGGCATTTCTAAGTCAAGTCCAGGCAGGAACTTGAAAATGGAGTAGAGCTATAGTTTGTGTTTCCATTGAAGTAAAAAGGTGAAACTTAAAAACAGGTAAACACAGTTTAGATCTATCTTTGGAGAAGTTGAGAAGACATTTTATTTGCGTGGTCTTTTAAATTTGAGCCAAAATGGTTCCTGTTGTTTAAGGGACATTTTCCATTGTTATGCAGATCTGGACCCTAGATTTTAGTTCTCTTACATCACAAACCTGTAGAGCTCTACATAGAATCACAGAATCACAGAATCGTAGGGGTTGGAAGGGACCTCCAGAGATCATCGAGTCCAACCCCCCTGCCAAAGCAGGATCCCTACACCAGGTCACACAGGTAGGCGTCCAGGCGGGTCTTGAATATCTCCAGAGAAGGAGACTCCACAACCTCCCTGGGCAGCTCATCCCAGCTCATCCCTTTTGCAAGCTACCTTACAAATCCATTTTAATTCGAAAAGAGAATATACTTCCTACGCTTGTAGAAAGACCTAAACACGCTGAGCATGAGCAAATACTAGTTATAGTAAAGACTATATCTCTTTTATCACTTCTTTGACTGAAGACAGGCCCCTTTATCAATTCTTCTACAAGTGTCCCATTGCTGATCATACTAAAATGCACTTTGACATTTACTTTACCAAACACTGTAAAATACTTCACATCAGGTACCAACAGAGCCAAGAAAGAAACCACAGAAAATGTAAATGCAAGTCTTAGATAATTATTTAAGCACAACTTTCCCTGCCCCTTTCTTTTTGAGATGAAGTTCAGCTACTCGGTTTGGTTATACATATTCAAGATCTTCCAAAACTTCTACAAGTTTAGAAGAATGCTGGCTACCCTTCACATCCATTTCTTCTACACAGTGAAATGTACCAAAAGACAATGAGGAAGGCTGTATGATTCATAGTAATGGAATGAAATGCCATTCACAAATGTTTTTTCCATAGCAATTTGTCACTTATTGTATTGAAACCACTTCAGAAGAAGTGTCTCAAAAAGCCTTTTGATATTAGCATGATTAAAAACATAATGTAATTAAGCAATCCCATAAGATTTCTGTATATTATGAGTAGGATCTTCAGTGACCACTTCATTCAACCACCCTAACATACGGGTGCTTGTAAGAGAAGGCTATTATTCTGCAAGATGCCTCAGATAGTTGTATAACACCAAGGAATTCAAATCTCCTTGCTCAGAGCAATTTTGTCTCACCAAAATTTAGCTATTCAGCTTTGGCACTGGGTCTAGCCTCTGTGCCTCAAATCCTTCTCAAATTACCCAAAAGGATACAACTCCTAAGAGTCATTCTGCCCTCCTCAACGTTGATATCTAAAGCTAATGGGAACATTTGCCCCCTGGTTGCATCTTTCTCTCTTCATTGACTATCCAGATGACTTTCTGGATACCTGTAGGTTTTCCTGCTGCTTCTGTCATATGCATAATTAGTATTTATGTACGTATTCATTACGTGCTTGTCCATGATCATTTCCTATAGCCCAAGCATGCATAACTTCACATTCATATACAATACAGCATTATTCAAGCCTTCAATGAGAAGCAAACAAAAAACACCCTTCCAAGGTGCACGCAGTCGCAGATCCCTACCTGCTGGGCAGTTGCATCGCTGGTGTGTCTCTCGAACTTCTCGATGTCTCGGCAAGTGAAACTTCAATTTCTGTTAAGGAAGGAAAAAGAGTAAAAGGAGTCACTAGCACTGCTGAAACCCAAAGCCTCAAATTCTTGGAAAAGTGGGATTGAGAGACAATACCCAAGCAGAGATGGGAGAGAGAGAGCAGACCAGCTTGGGAATGAAAAGAGGCATTAGAGTTCATACTCTTTAACTAGGATTTGATTAGAAGCAGACTGACAGAGTTTCATAATGGCCTCCAAATGTGGTCCTCCTGACAGGCATTACAAAGTCAAGAGCCATTAGTGGGAATCACATCCTCATGAGAAAGCTGCGTTTCTCAGAAGACCCACTTGGAAGACAGAAAAACAGAGATGTGAAGAAGGTACTCTTCCTTCCATGGTAGACTTCATATACCCACAGATACACCTGGACAGGCAGAAAGGTTGCATCAAAAATTACAGTTGAAAGTGGCCTGAAAACAACAATGGCATTTCATTAAACCATCAAGGGCTTTGAAATTTGATGTTACCACAGCACAGAACAAAACAAAACCTACTGAGAGCCTTCACGAGGTGGAATCATGTCAAAATGTTCATTTCCAATGAATTAGTATTTCTAATAGACCTGGTGTGTTGGTCTACCCATGGCCACAGCCTCCTTGCTCAATGGAAATGTCAATAAAACTGTTCCATATCCAGCACAAAATGCACTTTGGGGTCAACATCCACACTACCTCTTGTAGACATAATTAAAATAACTGCAATTTAGTAAAGAAAATGCAAATCAATCCAAATAAGTTATTTATTAATGCCCGTGAATCACACTTGGTTAATGATTTGAGCTGCTATGAGAATACTGAGCTGCAAGGGTGTTGTACTAAGGAGATCCTCTCTCTTGCCAGGTAACCCTCAAGCCCAACTGTGCAAGCTGCATCTTCTTATAGTCCAATCTACTTCATAGTCAGGGCTGATATTGAGAAAGAAATAGTCCTATGCTGGGCTAAAAGAAGAGCATGCCCAGGATCATATACAATTGATCTGATTATCACAAGTTAATGAGAAGCATCCTGCAAGTAAGCATCAGTTTGGAGACATTTTATTTTAGGAAGGAAAACAATGGCACATTTCTTCCTAGGTCAGAGACCAGTAGAACTGGCTGGAATGCTTCTATTTTTCACTTTGAAAGGACTGGCTTCCTTATTGCAAGTCTAAATCAAAATGACTTATTAGAACTGACCAGAAACTGAATATTTCCAGAGCATCTTTGTTGCACTGTATGCTGAAATGTTTTGATAGTGACTTGATTTGATATCAGGGAGAGGAGAAGGTTTCACACGAGAAGAGCTGCCAGTTCCCACATAGCATTTAATCTGCGTCTGCTGTCTCAGTCTAAAAGCAGAGATACTTGAATCTTTGCATTTGGGCATGTTCCCATCTAGCTGCCACCCCAAATGGCACAGCTCTGTTCCACAGCACAGTCTGGCTTTGAACATATTGTGCTAATGGTCAAGCATGAGCACAAATAGGACAACAGAGCCTTTATTTGGATACTCAGTGGCATGCAGACATAAGCATTCTCATTTCCATCTACACACATGCCAACCAAAATGTCTCAACATGAGACTGCCACATCTGGGAGAGGTTCCCGTATTTGGGAATCAGGCTTCACACAGCTTTCATGATTATACAGAAAAAGTTGATGGTTCACATGGTTGGGGCAGGAAGTCAGTTCCTAATCAGTGAGGGTCTGACACCCTGCCTACAGCAGGACCCTGCAAGAAAACACACAGAGAACACAGAGGTCCCTGAGGACCAGCGAGGAATAGTCCATGGGTGGGCAGAGTTAGGATTTGCTACAAGAAGCCTTGGCTGCTGCATCTCTGCTCACACACAAGGAGAAGAACAGCATAACCAGACTTATCAGAGGAAGTGACGACCCAAGCGTGACCAGGAGAGGAACAAGAATGACAGCATTTCCCCACAGCTTTATCTGCAGGGCTGGGGGACTGGAAGCAACCAGGTCTGCTGAAGTAGCCTCCCCATGGAAAACAGGCCCTGCAGGAGGGAAGACAGAGGTGCTACTCTGCAGGGCAAGCACTGGTACAAAGAGTCCACCAGGCAATCATCAGTGCTGGGCATTTTCCCCATCCCTGGCCATCTAGGTGCCTCCCCAGAGCCCAGGAGCTCCACAGGCCCTGTGCAAAGGGCAGTGCTGCTGTGGGATTACTTCTCTTTGGCAGGAGTCAAACCTGGCAGGAATTTTGGAACGCCTGGATTTCAGTTTCCTGCAGAGTCTATTGAACAAACACTGACAGCAATAGAAAAAATCCTTGGCTTACAGAGACCTCAGGTCAAATTTGGGCCGAGATGGCAAAGCAAAACAAATTCCCAACGTTCTCTGCTTCCCTCATTACCACTGTGCAAAATCCTGCCTGGTCCAGCATGAGAAGCTAGGTTTGCTCAAGACAGCAAAAAAAGAAAAGGCTTTCCTCTAAAAGCAGCATTTCCAGCACAACAGAAAGCAGTCATTTTAGGGCAAAGGCTGACTTTTGTAAGCAAAAATGAAATGATTTGGTCTCTGGAAATCTTAAGATTTTGTGATCTCCTGAGATCTGCAGTTGGCTTTTCACCTGGGTGATATCTAGAGCACAAAGCATCAGAACAGACATTGGCTTCATCTTGCCCAGGCAGAAATGCTAAAAACACTTCTTAGACAGAACATCAGCCTGCCCATATGGCACGCTTGCTCTTGCCTCTCAAGTTTTCCAGTGACTTGTCTTCCCCCTACACATATTACAGTGTCTGAAGAAGCCCGTGCCAGCGGCAGAGCTGACCAGCTCCTACAAGGGGCCTCCTAAGGCTTGCAACTGTCTATTTTGGATGGGCACTTGAGATTAGGTGAAAGAGAGGGCACTTCTTCAAAGGGGGCAGATTAATAGCTCTTTAGCAGAAGCAGTTGTTTGCAGTCACCCGGGGAGGTGAAATCATTTCCCACCACTATCTCCAGCAGCTAAAAGAAACATGTCTTAAATAGATAATCTATTACAACCATCAGGAGGATTTCAAGGGCTGGTGGTTCTGTTAACTCTCATTGTTTTATCTCCAATTTTGCTGTTTTTTCTTAAAGGTCCAGTCCCTAGAAACTCGGGACCTCGTGTCAGAAGTAAAAGCAAGCAGCGAGCTTTCCTGAATGGAGAGAAAACATGAAGCAATGCCATCCAGGTTCATCTGCAGGCAGATGAAAGAAAGGGGGATTTAGCTAGCAGAAGAATCAGAAGGAAAAACAGAACTCTCATGATTTTATCTTAACATCTTCTACTCCTAGAAGCAAGGTTTAGAGGAAAACCTTCTGACACTTGGGAATACATTTTTCACTATGGTTCTGAAGATATTTACGCAAATGATTAAAAAAAAAAAAGAAAGAAAGAAAGAAAGCTTCAGGTGAGGTGAGAAAGGGAGTTTTCAGGTGTTCCTCCTTTGCTTGCTTAAGTAAGGAGAGTGTCCTAGGGAAATCAGACTACTGGGACAGCAGCGATGACCAAAGCCCCCTTCCCATTCATGAAACAGCCCCTCATTCATTATAGCATCACTGGGCAGGTGACAAATACCTTTGATCCAAATTGGAGAAGCCAAGTGCATCCATCAGGGAACAGAAGGGCATCTGATCTTCCCCCAGGCTTTAGAGGATACCTGCTTTTGTTTTACCCACACACAACTCCTGCTCTTTTTCCCCCGCCTGCAGCATTAAACCCATCCTGCTCTCCACCCTGCCAAGCTTTTGGCAAGCAAAACAGTACCAAATGTTACCCAGCATGGGAAAGGACCTTGTTTTCTTATTTGGAAGGTTTTCTCTCTACTACTAATGCCAGTAGTGAGTTTATTTGTGTTCTTTATATGATTTTCTGTTGCCCCATAAATGCAGAGGAATTCCTACATGGAGCCAAAGTTCTCTCTGAATTACCCGTTCTGGCCCACTCCACGCAGACATTTTCAGGGGAAAACAGTCAATTTGTGCCTTGCAGAAAACTCCCCTCTGGTGTTTGCTGACACCAGGAAGAGGTTTTTACCGTAGCAAGCAAAGCAGTGCTGGCCAGGCTGTCTCACAGAAAGAATCTGCCATCCTCTCCCTGCTTGATCTGAGAAGGAACATTCCCACCAGTTGGCTTAAACTTAACGCTTTATACAAACCAACCCATCTCCTCTCCCTGTCAGTTTTGCTTTATTTCTGTTTGTCCAGCAGGCACCTGCCACATCTCTGGCATTTTGCACTTCTTGGTGCAATCCTTATGGTGTCCCCAAGGCTGCCCACACACCCTGGGGACACCCAGATGTGAAGACGTCACACTCTGGAGGGCACCATGTGCTCTATCTCACAGCAATATGAGTTTAAGAACAACCTTAGAGCTCCTCTATCAGGCTTCAGAAGCTTTGCTTCTTCAGGTTTCGCCAGCTCATGGGCAGATAGGATAGGGAATGGATAGCAATGAGGAGCAACAGAGATTTAACTCACCCATAACAAAAGCTGGAGTATGCCCTGGACAAGAGCCAATGGCTCTCAGCACCTTGCCCTCTCCTGCTATGTTCACCAGCAGCACTCCACCAAACTCACCAAATTTCAAGGGCTGACCTCAGCCTTGCTTCAGTGCCCTCTTATGTCCATCACCTCCCACTTCCCCACCCATCGTGGTGAGCTCCTTGTAAAGCTGAGGCTTCTTTAAAGCCTTGCTACGTTTTTGGTTTTTTTTTTGTCTTTTTTTGTTTTTGTGTGTGTGTGTGTGTGTGAGATGGATAATGCGGAGTTGGAAGCTGTGAAACCCATTAAGGTCAAAACAGGAGGAAACTGTGGCAGTGAAGCAGCAAGGCAGGAGGAGGAATGAATATCTCATATTCACACCCACCACAGCCATTCTGGCCACAGCCACTATTTCCCCAGCCCAACTCACCACTGTCTCTTATTTTCCCAGTCTTTCTTTCTTCTTTCATCCTTTCCCTGTTTCCTTCCTCCTTTTCTGTTTTGCTCTCTCCTTCTTGCCCCTCACCACCCAGTCTGGGAGACCATAAAACTTAACCTCACTTCAGACATAACGAAAAGAATGGTGGGGATGTGTGTGTTTTCCTTCCCTAAGCAAAAGCCCCACCATCATAGCAGATCTCCACCCTGCACCTTGAGCTGCTTGTCCCATGCCACCACCTCCAAAACGGCTGCTTCAGGAGCTCAGCCAAAGCAGGCAGAGAGGGCAAAGAAGGTTCTGCAGAAGGATGCACAGCCCTCCTGCTACTCCTGCAGGCAGCAGCTCTCCCTGGATGTTAAAAACTCAAGACCCAAGCCAGGCATCTCCTGCTTAGGCTCTGGTGCCTTTCTCCAAGCTGTTTTTGATGCTTTGGCCAAGCAGACAGCTGGCAGTCCCAGCAATATCAGTCGTGGAAGCAGCAGCCCCTGTCCTGTGGCTGCTCCCTGCACCGGCTGTGGGGCTGGGACCACCACAGGGCTGCTCAGAAAGCAGTGGTGCTGCCGGGCATGTGGGCAGTGTGATAGCCCCATTTCCTTGCTAAGCTGGGCTATAAAAAGGCAGAAAGGTGCCACAGGCATGAGGACGCTCTGTCCATCCGGCCCCCCGGCACTGCTCCCAGGAGGGGTCCTGTAGCACGTCTCAAATCACCCAGGATAAACCCTGGCTTCCCGTGAGACTCACGCAAGCAGCGATGAGGAGGACGCTACACATCATCCTCTGCCCGCTGGTGGGAATGCAACCCCAGCACAAGGGTGCAGCTGTGCAGTACCAGTCTGGCCAGTGGCACTTGCGCTTACTCTCCTCAAAGCTCTCCACTCTGGGATGTTGCCTGTGTAGCCTCTGATGTATCAAAATGACTTCAACGTCCTGATGAAGCAAGGGCTTCTGCAGGAAGCTCCCTCCAGGGGCAAAGACCCCCAAACAAACCCCAGTGGCATCAGCACAGTAAAAGGAAAGGCTTTACCAGATCAGCGGTGGAAGTTTGTGCTTTTCCGCTCTCACTACTGGCTCAAGCTCAAGCTTCTTCAGCAGCAGCTCTCCTGTCCTCAGCCTTAGAGGAATAGCCTGTTGGCTCTAGTGGGGTTTGGATGGGACCCAAACGGGTGTAGGATGGCCATATGCTTTGCAGTGATGCCCCAGCAGTAGCAGAAATGATCTTGGCAGCACCAGCACATCTCATTTCCCAAGCCAAGCACAGCAGAAAGGGTCAGGGCTAGCACAACAGAGAAGCCAGCCTGTCACAACTTTGGCCTTTTTGCAGCTACCTGCTGCTACAGCACAGCTTGGGCTTTCCCTCGTCCCATGGTCATACCAGCTACAGTGTACCTTGCCTGTCCCTCTCCCAGGTCTCAAATCTACACTGAACTCACAAATTTAATCTCCAGCCTCAGCTGTCTAAGCAGGCAATGCCACCAGTCACCAAACAGAGAGTGCTGGAGGCTCTTTACCCCTGCAGGGAATGGGAATGAGTTTCCCCTTTTGCAAAGAGCTAGGGCTCAGACACAGCATGGGCTAGGGCTGAGGGAAGCAAACGCCAGGCAGGTTTGAGAGGTGGGAGGAACCTGAAAGCAATGGAAATTCAGCCTAGCAGCATCACTCCCACAGAAATACATTTCTAAAGCGGGGAGAAACATGCAGTGCAAATGTGTGTGTGCACATGCATTAAAACATATAGTAAGGCATACCATCCATGCAAAATGAAAGCACACCAACCTCATCAAGCAGTTGGTCAACTCTTCCCAAAATAGCTGTCTCCATTTGGTCTGCTGAGAGCCAGGCAGGGAGCTGCGTGGATCTGTCCGCTTCCAAGTGGGACACTCGGGATTGCAGATCAGAGGTCCGAAAGTACAGCAGGAGGCTGAGCACCAGAGAGAGCAGGGAGATGCCGGGCAGCCCCGAGCCCAGCAGCAGCGGGAGGCGGCAGCATCTCTCCCCGTCGCTGGTCCTGGGGGGAGCTACGCACCCCCTTTCAAAAGCTGCTTCGCCGACACCTTTCCAGCTCTTCTCCTCCAACATTCCCTCCCTGTCCTGAGAAACAATAAATAAATAAATAGAATAAATAAAGCCTCTCTCCTATTCCAAGAAGCACAATCCAGAAGGCATAGAAAACAAACGTCCAAGGGGATCCCGGTGCCAGCAAATGACAGTTAACAGCAAGAATGACAAAAGTGGACGGGGGTGTCTAAAAAATGCAAAATAAAAACACACGCATACAAAAAGGGGCACAGAAAAAAAAAAAAGAAAAAAAGAAAAAGAAAAAAATACGGATCCAACTGCAGCAAAGATTCAGAGAGAAAAAAAAAATCTTATGAGAATTTTTTTTTTTTTTCTGTCTTTCAGTCTTTTCAGTCGCTGGTAGGTTTTGATTTCCTTTTAAGCTGCCAGTTTCAGTTCCTTCGCAGACCGGCCAGGAGCTCACACATGAAAGTCCCCATTAGAGAGAGGTAATTCTCAGCTGTTCCGGCGACGCTGCGCTCTGGCTGATCGTGGCTCCTCTGTAACATGACACACTCCCTCCAAAAGACGGGGCTGGGATGAGCGAGCCGCGGCTTCCCAAAGTAACCTCCTCTGCTCGCCCGCTCTCTCCACCTCTCCTTCTCCGCATGATTTATTTATTTATGCAAAGCACCGGGGTGGGATCGGGCTGTGAGACGCCCCGGTCCCTCTCGGTCTCCGAACCACCTCTCCGCCGCCAGCCCTTCCCTTTGAAGTGGCTCTCGCTGAGGTTATTTATAGCGGCAGGAAAGAGATTGTAAAGCAGAGGCTGGGCTCCCACCAGCCCGCGCCTTACTTTCCTCCCGGCAGCCAGAGTGCGCAAATGGGATGGAACAAGTGGGCTGCCGAGCCCCCGGCCAGACCCCAAGGCAGCACCGAGGCAATGGGCCGTGGGGTATTTGGGGTATTTTGACCCCAGGATTCAGGAGGAGCAGTTGGGCAGGGGGAGAATCAGAGAGAAACAGCTGGGGATCAAAGCCAAGAGTCAAGGATGCTCGCAAAAACTTAACCAAAAGCAGAGGAGAGCGATGCCCCGTGCAGGCAAACCACAGCACGAGGTGGGAAACGCCTGGGGCTTGAGCTGGTCCAAAGACCCGACAAGCCCAGGGAACGCAGACGTTCAGAGGAATTAATCTGCTGAGGCCCTCTAGTGAAGCAGAGCTTCCCATCATCTCCCCCATGTCCCACCAGACATGGGGCAACAGGCAGAACCCCCCTCAGCAGAGAGCAGCCTCCCCAAAACGTGCTACAGGGGAGTCCCAAGCCATGCATCCAGGAAACAAAGCCCCTTTCTGTTCTTCAAGAGTAAGCGGCCCTCCTCCCCCAGGTTTTCCAAGCATGACATACAATATTTTACCCTCCAGAGTGACACGCGGGCTCTGTTGAGCCCCTGCCTGTCCGTCCATCCTTTGATCTACATCTTGTGCACACGCAGCAGCAAAGCAGCACAGGGCCCATTGCTGCAAGCACTCGTTAAAAGCCGGGCAGCAAATTGGTCTCTTAAAATCTGGCTCCCTTGTGGCTCCTTCGCTGTCATTTACACATTTTAAATGAAGATTTTGCGTGCAGTCTGTGCTGGAAATTATTGGCAGAGAAAACTCATATTCATCTCTCGCCCGCTCTCCATTTCGGAGGGCTGGAAGAAATAGACCTTCGGGGAGCAGGCTAAAGCAAGCAAGACTTGTTTCTTCTCCTCCAGACAAACCCTTGGAGGGCCCGGTAGCACACAGCCCCAATTCTTTGAACCGCCTCATGCCTTTTGCAGCCACTCGCTTCCCAGAATGGGGTTTTAGTGTCTGCAAGGCAGGAAATCCATTCTTTATTTCTTTTAGCAGGCTTGTTGTCATCTCACTGATCGAATTCACCTCACCACTCTGGTGTGCATGGAGAACACTCCTCTGATGGCTGCAGCTTTTCATCAGTTTCTCATATGAGCAAACAGGGCTGTGTAACACATAGACCAGACGCATACAGGGTGTCTATTTGTTCAGGAGGTGCAGCTCCCCCCTCTGACACCCCTTGCTCGGTCACTCACAGACACACACACATTCACAACAGCCTATTTCCTGGCAGAGGGAGAGGACTCTTATAGGCTACAGCTCTGCAGCTTGGTGCTAGGACAGAAATCACTGGTCCACAGAGCCACCTAAGGTGCCATCTGCCATCATAGCAATATTTTCTCTAAATATTGGGACAATGAGAAGTGAAGGGGAGATGCTGAGAAGCTGAGGATAAAACATTTGGAAATTTGTTGATCTACATGGGGAAATAACTGGGATGTTGGGTACCGCAGAGAACACTGAAATATGTGACTTAAAGGCCAGGGTTCAGCTGCTGAGGACAGCAGCAACCTGCCTCTATCATACATGGCTTTAACTGAAGGCTGTCTCATTTATACCACCCCGAGCACCAGAAATCAGGAAAATGCACCCACTAAGCTGAAAGCGGAAATCTGCTGGGTGCCTACATTTCATTTCCCTGCACCAGCTGGGGAGAGCTCTCTACTCTTTCACTCTGATTTGCAGTAAAGATCCTGCTGTCCAGTCACAAGCATTGCCTGAATGACTCTGTAAGTGCCTTTTCCTGCCTCCCCGCCAGCTCCTCTCCAGCTGATCAGTTCACTTACAGGATATGTTATAGCTGCTGCAGGCTGGGAAGCTGCAGTCAGCTGGGTTTCACAGGGAAGCCTGGGCTATAGATGTGCAAGGGGATAATTTCTCTATCAATGAGGCATTTAGGAGGCCTGTCAACCCATGCCAGTACAAATGGGCTAATTTAGCTACAAACCTGAGCCAACTGTGCGTATAGAGCACACAACACAGCTTGTTGAACGAGCTGCCTCCAGAGACCGCCCCAGCACACAGAGTCATCTCATAGCTCCTGGAGTTAAGCTAAGCCCAACCTTCAGCTCCCTGTGCAGCATAAGAGGTGGTCAGTGCCAGCCTGAAACCAGCCCTCCTGCAAGTTTGTGACTCTTGAATTTGGTCAAGTAGAAGTAGATGCTCAACAAATCAGTGATTTCACTGAGCAGCAACTCTCAAAGCAGACTAGACTGCTGAGCTTGCGGGTATGTCCATCTCTTCTCCAGGAGGCTGATCCAATTCCTGACAAGGACAGTGACCATACATTTACACCACTCATAACTGGTCCTCCAGGGGTGGTTACAGACCTCAGCAGGTACATGAAACAAAATCCGGAGCAAATATAAGGAAATATGTATCTTCCAAGACAACCAAATATATCCATACAACAGAATACAGTGTTTCACATCTAGCACATGGCATTGGGTCAAACAGTGTACTGGACACAAGTACATACAGGTAAGAGAGTCTCCAGGTTTGTCAGTCTGTAGCTGGCACCAGCACTTTATCCACCCTGGGACATTCGTATGAGGGCATCAAAGTCCTTCACAGAGAGGTTCCTCAGTGCTTCTCTGCTACAGACACACAGTGCTCAAAGGGGAACGATGTGTGGGGACTCCTCATAGGGCATAGCAGGCAACCAAGAGGTCTCATTGCAGAAGACCATGAGCCCTCTGACTCCAGAAGATGCCACCATACACGGCTAGTCAGAAAGGAAAGAGCCAGGCACAGATGAGATTTCAAGCTTCCGCACACAGGTCAAGCCAGCAAATTACCTAGAGGGTCTTCATTTGGCCTGGAAAAGGGTGGGCAACAGCAGCAGACCTTCCTTAATACACTTCACTTTAAGTGGAGCTTTTCATTAAAAAAAAAAAACAAAAACACAAAACCACCACAAACACGCTCAGCAAACACGCTCTTCCTGTCACTAACTGGAAGCCAACTGCATGGAGATGGCTGTGCACTCAATCCCATCAGCAATCTCTAAAACTGCCTTGTAGAGAGATTCTCCTTTTCAATCCATTTACTAGAGAGAAAATAAGCCCAACCCCACTTCTCTTTTTATCCTCCTCCCACCCCCCAGGAAATGTGGGGGTCTTGATGTGCTCAAACGAGCCATTAACTAGCAGCTGACATCTCCAGCTATTGTAAATATATGAACTCAAGGCCTTTTGCTGCGTTTATTAGACTCAAGAACAACATCTGGAAACAGATGTTTTCTGAGAGCAAAGGAGGGGAGGGAGGAGGGAGGAAAAAACAAGAGGGAAGAAAAGGACTCTTCCAAGTGGAAGTGCACGGGTCTGCAGACCATCCCTTCACAAAACACTGTTCAGAAGAAGCACTGCGAGGGGCTGAGGACAGTGCAGCCACGTCACTCCTACATAAGGCAGGGAGAGCAGGACATCTCGGGGGGGCTCTCTCTGAACTCTCCTCATCATGAGCATCCCAGTCCTCAGCTGTTCTGTGTCCCACAGAATACCAGGCTTGTGCCTAGCAGCATCTGTCACATTGACCCACTTGCCTTTCGGTTGGGGCACAAAGCAGGTAAGGCCTGGGATCTCTAAGGGACACCAACCAGAGCCCCATCAGCCACAGGGAGCCCTTTCCCAAATGGCAAGTGAGGTGGGATGTTCCCACTCAAGGGCTGTGAAGGACCAAGGGGCCCTACACTGACTTAATGATCTCTTAATGATTCCACGCCTCATATTTAGACAATACTTAGAGAAATGCATAGTGTTAAGAGGGGAAAAAGTTACGTAGGCACGTCTATTTAAAAATATAAGCCACACGTCATTAGTGAAACTCCACTCTCAACTAGATACATTTTCTCTTAGGTGTCAGAGGTGACTGAGGTACAACAGAGCCCTGATACCAAAACTTCTCTGAAAAGCTTCTGAGGGAAATGTGTCCGTACCCATATGCTTACAATGCATAAACTCACGTTCTTTACAGCCATTATTTTCTCTTCTGTAACCCCAGGCTCACCTCTAGCATCTCCAGCCCTGTCTCTCCTTTGATGCACAGCTACAAATACTTCGCTGCTCACGTCAGAAATATTGAGTATTACCTACCTAATTTGGCAGTAGTTTATAGGAAGCATTAAGTAGTCCACGGAGCAGAACAATTCCCGCCTGAGGAGCTGCTCCAACTCATTGTGGAGTTATAGAATAAAGACACTTCCGATCCTTTGGGAAAAGGGTTATGAAAATGCATGGAAAAAACGTACTGTCCACACATAGTAATATCACGGCTGTTTTCAATCACTTGATCCCTACAAAACAAAGGGTCTCACTGAACAATATGAACTCCTAGCCCAGACAAGACAGAAGCAAAGCTAGCCATAGCCAATCAGGGCTTTACATTTTCATAACCTTAAAATGCTCATACTCAATTTTGCTTCCCTCCTGTCAAAGCCAAACTTGCTTCATGCAACTACAGTGGCAATAAGCTGCCACACAACAGAACAGAGCTGGGCTGTGCCAGGGGAAGAATACGAGCCTGGCCACCAGCAGCTCCTGCAGAGTCCGGGTCAGAGCCTCCAAGGGAAGAGAAAGCAAACCCTGGTTTTGCAAAGTTTGAAACAAACCCCTCCTAAATGCTGACCACACCATCTCCCATGCCGCCCCCCAAAGGAAATCCCCGATCATCTTTGTAAGAGCAGCAGGCAGCAAGAGGTGGATGCACAGTTTAGCTGCCCACATTCCCCTGTGTTTTCAACTAACTTCTTGCCTCTTCTTTGGAAATAATTCATGGCCAAGCAGGGGGTGGGGAAGAGTTTTATTCCCTTTTTAGCAGTAGGTTTTTTTTCCGCCTGGTCTGGAGCTGATTTTTAATGGGTCGTGCTGGGTGCCGT